GATGCAATGTGAAGATGTAGTCGATGCAGCCCCGACCTCGACGAAATCCGGCTTGCTCTTCACGAATCTGGCTTTACTAGTGCCAGTCAGTCTGTGGAGAATGAGAGAGGCAAGCAATTTAGAGGCAATTGAAACCAGACTGATCCCTCTATGATTACCACATTCCAAACGGGAGTTTCCCTTGAAAATTGGGACAATGACAGAGCGGTTCCAGTCTGTCGGGACTGTCTCCTGCTCCCAAAGTTTTACTAGCAACTCGTGTAGATCATCTACTAGGGCAGGCCCCCCGAATTTGAAGAGGGCTGGAGGAATTCTATCTGCCCCTGCGGCCTTGTGCAATTTCAACAGCCTGGTCTCACGTTCCACTTCTGCGCGTGAGGGCGGATCCGAGGAGACGGGCACTCCATGCCTGAAGAAGAAACCGATAAATCAGGTTGGTTAAATTGCCTTCCAAAGTGTTCAGCCCAACGCTCCAAACGTTTTGACAGGCTGTGGATCGGCTGCCCAGTCTCGTCGCGTATGGACTTGCTAACACCAGGTTTCCTGCTCCCTGTTTCCCGTATCAGACGTGGATTACCGACGGCATCGGCTGTATCCATCTCAGAGGCACGATGTGACCACCAGGTTTCGCGATCCTTCTTCAGGCTAGCACGTAGTTTTGCCTTGAGAATTTTGCGAGCCTCATTGTATTCGCTTCCAGCCGGAATACGTCGGCGAGCATCCCTAAGTCCCAGAGACTGTGTAGGGACCCAATGTCCGGTTTGGCAATTTGCTTTGCCACATGAAGACATGCCTGCTAACAGTAACGTTTGACGAATATGTGACCAGTGATCTTCAAGGGTGTTTAGTGGGCGCTTACTCAGCCCAGATGTCAGCGCACTTTGGTACACATTCAGAACATCTGACTTCGCCAGCTGGCTGGTGTCAATCCGTTCACATTGACGTTGCGGACGTCCACCGAAACGCACCAGGAGGTCGGCACAGACAAGTGCGTGGTCAGAGTCCACGCTGGTGCTCCAAATCGAGCGACAGATTTGGACACAGCCTCTCCAGCGGTAACTGATCGCGATATGATCGATTTGCGTCTATGGGTGGCCCGAGGCTGGTGGCCACGAAGTCACGCTTCTGCGGGTGCTGTGTCGAGAGTTAGTGCTCGCGAGAAAGAGGCGAGCATCTTCACACAGCTGTAGCAATCGCTCACCATTATCATTACTGGAGCCTACACCATGTTGGCCGCCCAGATGAAGCTCATCAGAGGACAATTTTCCGACTTGGGCGTTTAGATCGCCAGCCAACACCACAGTATCCGTGCTTCTCCTGTAACGAAGGAGCTCGTGAAGTTGCTGATAGAAATCATCTTTTACCGAATCAGTGCTACAGATTGTAGGGGCGTAGACCGCAATGACAAACACGCACCGTTTGTCGTCGCGCGACTTCGTAGCACGGAACGAACCAGCTAATCTAACGGCGCACATCCTACTGTTTACTGGGATCCAATCGATCAGGGCAGCTTCAGCCCGGGGACTCAAAACAATCCCGACGCCAGCTAGACCGGCATTTGAAACTGCATCATCGCCAGACAGGCGCAATGAGAATGTGCCGCCAGTGTCGCATGTGGGGGATCTCAGGGTAAGGACGGAGTTCGAATCTTGCAGGTGGGTTTCTGATAAACAGCAAATATCGATCGATAGGGTCTCTAGTGTGTGGGCAAGTGCTGCTTGTTGGCCAATCTGCAGCAAAGTGCGCACGTTGAGGCATGCCAGTCTTAGCGGGGCATGAGTGCTGCAAAGGGAAACGGATGAACGGACGTTGTCCGCTTGGTTGAACATGGACTTGTCGACTGGATTGGAGCGAGGCCCTGCGATTGTGTGTGATTTGAAATTAGAAGACAAGCGACTATTGAAGTAAGCTGAGGGAGGGCCAAGAATTGGGGGGTTGAAAATAGGGGAATAAAAGTAAAGTTGGAGCCGGACGATAAGGATGGAGAAGCGCAAGAAGGGGTATAAGAAGACGGGGAGGCCTGAGCAGTAGCATCCATACCCCTATCCACCCTGCTCGATGCAGCAGATAGGGCGCCGTTTATTATCCTCTGCGACGACCAGAGCATCAATAAATTGTTGGAAGACTCGTGGCGCGTTCCACACATCATGCATTTGACATTTGGGAACACAGATGCATCACACGGAGCCGTCTCTGGACTGTAGGGTGAGTGACCAACCTCCTGGATGGGTTCTCTAGCCAGAAAAGCTACCACGACATGGGACCTGTGTGCAAGTGCTTTGCCATGGTGCAGCAAAAGCTCTGGTGGTCGATTACTTAGACGACGCCTAGCTACATCTTCCAACACCTATGTAACACAGTGGGTGGCGTATCAGTCTCCGATGGCTGTGCGTTGCGGTACAATAGTCACATGACCGGTCTTAGCCACGAACACAGCCACCATCTGCTTGATCACACTGCGCTTACACCGCAATTTCTGAGACGGCGCCGAGCCAACGGCCGTCCACTGATCCGTTTGTATCTTGGCCTCTGGGTCGAAACTCTGCACCCAGGTCTCATCACCACTGAGGATCTTCCAACTAGCATTGGAACGTCCACCATCAAACACGGCAAGCATGGTGCGGTATTAATTCACCCGAGCTGCTTTCTGGTCCTCACTGAGTTTTTGGGGTCCTCAGCTTGCGCAAACGCTTCTGTGGCCGAAGTTTTCATGTATTATGGTGCGGATTGCTCTCCCCATATGAGATCCCGATAGCTTTCCCCAGCTGTACCACAGTCAGTCGCGCGTCCTCTCCCAGCATATCGCTTGCGCAGCAGCAACATTGTCTGCAATGGTGTCCTATACAGGTCGATCACACACCATGCCTCATCATTCAGGGGCCGCCTACCATGCTTGTGAATTCCGCAAATCACTCAAACACGGTGGTTCTTGAAGGCCCATCATCACCAAACACAGCATGCAATCGCTGAACACTGGTGTGTTTCCTTCTACCCACATGTGTAGTCATAAAAACCGTGGCCTTCCAGTGACATCGACTGAGTTCCATACTAACCGTCAAAGTATAGCGGCACTTATGACTTTTGAGCTGATATACAGTTGTCTGACTTGAAATCGCTGAACAATGTTCAGAATGGATTACAGTTCACAATTTTCTTGCCACGTCATCTGTATACTGCGTATAGGGCGACTTATTGCTCTGCTCTCCTACACGTAGGTGCGGGAGACCTCGCTGTGGTTCACGTAGTCCTAGCGTGACTGTTGGAGGTCACGTTTCAACGAAACATCGGTACGGTTCCCGATCACATTACAGACATGCTTGCCTGAGACTGGTAGCGCAAGTTTTTGCAGGGACCGGTGGAGGTTTTCCCCTACTCCTGCACTCTCCATTTATGTAGCGTTATGAACACACCGAGTCTTGTGTTATTATGCTAGGCGTCGGCGGCAATCCCCCTAAATTCTGACGAGTTCATTTGATTCCCTAATATCCATTGTCGGGCTCCACGGTTACTGAGGCTGCCACAACTGGATGCTCGTATGCCAAGTGTGGCTGCTGAAATCCTCTTCTGTCAGGACTCGATAACTTCGGGATGGTTAGGTGATAAATTGATAGCGCTTTTCTTTGAATGCTGTTTCCAACTGTGATCTGTGGACCATTATTCCCCATCTATGTCTATATACCCTCAAACCATTCAATTCTCATTAACTGTATAAGTTCCGACTTTAGTGCTGACGTGAGGCACTGAATCCCCGCCACTAGGTCTCTATAACCAGATACAGATAGTTCTACCCAAGGCCTTACTTGTCTCCATCACATGTGGCCACCATATTTTACCATCTAGAACTTTGAATCCGTCTGTTACTGGCTGAACGATCGACACCTTCGAAACAAATGAATCCGAACAACTATTCACTTCGCTTACGGCATCTCAGGTGAAACTCCACAGTTGCTCGTTAGAGGCGCGAAAAATAGATAATTAAACAAATGGAAGCATTAAGTAATTATGATGCGAGTCTTATTCTTTCGCTATTGACTACATCTGCAATTGAAAACTCCATCTGGCATAGTTCAACGTCGGGGTACTTCATTTTTCTATCTTTTGTTTTTAAACATTGCTCATGCTACTGCCCCTTGCTCTCTCTCTTCAAAAGAAAAAATAAACTTTTGTTTTACGTATGCCCCTTTCTTGTTCTATTGCTCTCAGGATTGATCAGTGCCAGTGTAACTAACGATGACTGAACTTCTTGCACTTCATCGCTCGAATCATAATTTGTTGACCTTACAGAGCACTTTTCGCTCATTTTCAATTCCCTCTTGTGGCCTTTCATATTGACTCCAGTATGCAGCTTTGATACTACCCTGTAGCACAGTTCGATCGGTCGATACGTTATCAAAGTAAGAGGGCAATACATTGTCCAGCTGGGTGGTCCGGGTTTAACCCGTTCCACCAAATAGTTCGGCGGCAGTGTTCCAGGACGTGGTGGGTTTTCGCCCAGCAAGCTTTCTCCCTATAAAAGCCACGAATGTCTGCTTATTAACACTGTGACGTGGCGGATGTGACTCACCACAAAATAAAGTCACTGGCCCGGGGACATCCGGAAAATGGTATCCAACCGACGGACATCAATCGCTTATTCTCACATTCCTACCGATAACAAACAGTCAAAAATTCTGCGGCACATTCAAAAATACAAGCTACATTCATAGACAATTACATACATATATACACCCATACACTTACATTCACTGTTATGCCAAACATGTACTCTTTGTACATTTTGATCACGCTATGTTAGCTAAACATGATCATGCCTGTACAGGTGTGCCTCGCATTGTCGAGAATAAAAGTTTATTTATTTATTTACTTTTACAGACACTTACGAGATACTTGCTGTCTCTCGGGTTATGAATGCCGGACTGGTGTACTCAAACCATTGTGGGATTATCCTTGATGCCTCGACACCCGTTCTCCATGGTTTCTCCTCTTTCCTTATGTTACAGAGACAATGGACCACATATCAATGGCTTATCAAAGAACGAGCTTTTAACCGGGCTTCGGTTAATAAGCGGTCAATTCCAGCGTGTGTTCCCACTCGATAAAGTCTACATCCTCCCTGCCATTGGGAATCACGACGTAGTGCCGTCCAATAGCATGCGACCAGCACCCTCCGATTCCAAACGTTTGGCCTGGTGCCACCAGCTAGCCTCGGATACTAGCTTATGGGGTCCATGGATTCAACCGAGTAATGGTAATCAAACGGCTCATACACCGGCCACTGGACGTTCTTCGATATTGGGTGCTCCACCGTTTGCAAATTTTTCCAAAGGTGGGTTGTGATTTAGAAGATTTGTGTCAATTCATGTAAACGTGTCCTACGCGACCACGAATCAGGATGGTCGTCTGCGTTTATCACACGATAGGTTGCCACCTGATTCTAACTTACTGCGGTCTGTCACCTCAGCCTTGATCATCATACACGCTCATTTCCCCCCCCCCCCCGCCCCCCAGTGTGCGTGCAACTAGTGAATCTCACCCTCCTATTCGTTGCATATCACTCCTGCTCTCCCAAGTGGTGGCTCATCCCCGGTTTACTGGTATGTCCTACGAAGATCGATGCAGAAGACGGGCTGTCATCCTCATCACCATCAATACGCGATAGCTGAGGGTGAGAAACACATCAACTAATGTGCCGCAGTACAAAAATGGTACTATATCAAATGTTATGTCATGCAAAAACTGACGAAGTAATATAATACTAAATATCATATTACGCATTGGGTATGAGATCGTGATTGGGGGAGGCATCTGAGAAAGAGTGGGTGGGCAAGGAAACACAATATAGGTAATTGCGGCCGACTCTACCGTATCAGCAAGTCTACCCAATCAAACGTGTTCAACGTCCTTGGGACCCCAGCCCGGCAGTCCGCATACACCAATCAACGCCAGCTTCGAAGAGAGGATTTTAATTTCACTCGACCAAGTCATCGCTTGGCGGCCTCCTATCCTCTTCCATCCACACCCCGGGCACTCAACTAATGCACATCGCGGGAGTCGGTGTGCTGGCATGCGCAACACGTGGCCCAGCCATCGGAGGCTGGTGCGTGATAGAATGGTACTGAGGGGTTCACTCGCTCTTTCTGCACCGAATACAGTACGCCGAACACGGTCATTGCTCACACGGTGCTCCCACCAGAGATGTGTTAAGCTTCGAAGGCAGCGATTGTCGAATGTGGCTAGCCTATTTGTCGTCGAATAGTATATGTCGATGACTTCTTGTGCTGAGGACGCTTCTGCAAATGCGCACATTAAACAACACTTAGGGATACGGGCACAAGCTCATAATCCCAGACCTGGAGTGGATAGCTCACTGTGTATGCTTCGAGCGTGGAATGATTCAGATTCAGATGAACTGGAACGATAGGAAAATCCCTTGAGTGTTCCTTCTTGAGCAAATCGTTGAGCCAGGAAATGATAAGGTGCTAGTTCTTGATAGATCTAAAACGAAACACCCGAAACACAGCCTGATCAACCAATTACTGCCCACGTTCCCTTCACTAGCAGTCCCCGCTGTGTAGGTTACGGGAAGTAAGAAAGAAGTAGAAAGTAAATGGAAGATAATGGGGAATGAAAGTCATTAAAATGAAGGATAACACCAGAGTGAAGAGAATGACAGAATAAGAACTAAAAGTTTGAAGATGGATATGGTCAGGAGAAGGGAAAGGTTTCGTGTTACCACCCAAGAGCGTCTAACTGACGCTCGAAACCCTTAACCGTAGGTTCACTGACTACACTTTCTGGAAGCGAGTTCCAGCGCTCAATAACTCTACGCGATAACCGAGTTTCCGCCCTGATCCCGTCAGAACGCGGCTTGTGTACCTACATGTGATAATCGCGAAGACAAGGCAACCTAGCTGGGCTAAATAGCCAGCTCAAGTCCGGTCCAACCTTCCCTGTTAAAATGCGGTAAGTAAGGAGTAGGTCTCCTCGAAGCCGTCGGTAGTGCATTGAATGCATACCCAAGCTAAGTAGACGCTCGGGGTACGATTGCCCCCGTAACCCCTCGATCAATTTGGTACCTACTCTCAAAACCCTCTCGAGCTCCATTTTGTCCCGAACAAGGCAGAGCGAGCAAGCCTGGACGCAGTATTCCAGATGAGGCCGGACGAAAGCTGAGAACAGCTTCACAAATATGTCGGCAGTTAAGACCCCGAAAGAACGGCGTATTAACCACAACATTCTGAAACCCCTACTAGCGGCCTTCTTCCAGTTGTCACCAGAATGCAAAGATGAGGAATGGATGACGCCTAGGTCTACCTGGTTGGAGACAAGGGGGAGTTCGACTCCACCGAGTACGTAGCTCAAAGGGGGGAAAGTTGCTCCTATACGAAGGACGGAACACAGCCTGATTTATAAGCAGTAGCCACAAAGTAGTCTTGTCCCAGAGTCTGATGAAATATTTAAACGGATTGCCCGAGATACAATCGGTGTCGGAATTCAATAAAATGCCCAAGCACCATTTCGAAGCATTAGAAATTGCATCGCATCTGAGTGGGGGATGTCGCACAACTGAACTATCTTGACAATGCGCGGTAACAAATGGGGTTGTTCCACATGTGACCAGTGCTATATAGATGAATTAACACACCCATATATTCCTGCTCTCTACTTTCAGTATTCATTGTGCATGCCATTTCACGCTGCCCTAGTTTTGGTCTACTTGGTCAGCGCTCACTACCTCGACACAATTGTGTTACGCGCTATCAAACTTTCGGTTTTCCGCTCTGCACGAGTTCCCGGGCGCACTAAATTCACTTGATCTCTTCTACACCACGCACATACAACGAGCGTTTTCTCTGCCCTCTCGAACAACGTATCCCACCTTACGATGGTTAGATGCATCGGATTGTTTTGTAATCCACTTGTCAAGTTGGAGGCGCCCTTCGACCCGATGACGTCATTCATAAATCCCGTGCCTCGTCTGCTTGCTACGGGGGAATTTCGCCCACAGGGTGGTGATCAGGATATTTGTCTTGATCAACTACTTTTGGTAAATGTGTTCTCACTGGAGTCCGCGGTTTTTTCTTTAATGCCGTCTTCCATCCACCCACGGAGCGTTCTCTATTCTCTCCCCTAACTCTTGTGTAGACCAGGTAGTGCAACTACGGGTTATTGCTGAAATTTATTTTATGCGGAATAACCGTTCTGACTCCACAACCAGTGCACAGCGTTTTTCGTACGCACATGTTGTTCAGTCATGACGTGATTTTTGATTTTCTTTACCTGTGACCATCTATACTCCATATGGCGCGTTCAGCTTTTCACTATATTCGTCTTTCTGAGCTCTCCCTTTTTGATTCTCGCTTTACGTCGGCTGATATCGCGGTCGAGTTTATCATCGACCATTAACCGTTGGACCATTTTGTTCCGGTAGGTTAACTGCTGCGTTGTGAAATAACCCCCGTCCAACGGCACCCACTCCATGAGATTCTGTCTATAAACAATTGTGACCCGATTTTCGTAGCTTACTTCTGTCGATCCTTTGGCACTATGGACGGGGCACAGAATCGATACGTGGCCGGGGTTACCGTCAGGACAATCACGATTGCTATTATGAAAAAGGTTTTGTTAGTGTATTCGGGAAGTTGGGGCTCGGCTCGCTAATTCTTGCATTCGGCCGAATCGGCCACTTACATAGTGTACTTCGCCCGATGGTGGTCGCTACAAAAATGTATCCAGCATGCTTTGTATCAAGGAATAACACAAGAATAAGCTAATGTGTGTGTGTGTGTGTGGGTACGTATATGTGTAGCTCTGTTATCGCAATGCGAACGCGTACGTGACAATTTTTGTGTTTGGGTCGTTGCTTTGGTTTATAGATAAGCACATTGGCGTGTGCGTCACAAATTCGTGGTTGTGATATGTGTGATACATTTGTTTCGTTTTCACCGCAGCAAACACGTTTCCACTCTGTCATGTCAGCCGTGCTTTGGATGTATTTCCTGACTACCCTAATCTTTCATGGCTTTGCTACAGAGATTCCACGGGACTTCACTTTAAATACACTTTTATATACACCTTAATAACTTCATTTGCTCGGGACTACAATTACGATTTACGTTGGGTTTCGTTTTGTTGTGTTTCAAATCAGAGAAAACATTAGCTGTGGTATTCGATGATCACCTCAAAGCGATACATACATGAACGTAAACGCAGTTACATATGCTGGAGTCCCCAGTAACACGATAGGGTTTCTATGGCGCAATCAGGACCCCAAAGTAATCTTAACGATTGTATCCGTTTTTTTTCTACGCGCGACACTATACGATTCACTTTTAGCGTTAACGCTTTACTGATAACCAGCAGTTTCCGAGTCTGGTTATTTGATAACACCTTAAACGAATTCACTTGGTTGGGCTAGTGATGAATAGTCAGTTCCTTTTCTTCACACCTGGGCCACTTTTGTGAAATCTTTAGCCATCCGTTGAGCCAGCTGGCGGTCATTTCTACCTATGTGGGTCTCACCACAACCGCGAGCGAACTGATAGATAACGTGGGATACCGATTTGATTAACAAGTTGCTCTCACCATTCGTGTACTGTGGATAAGCTGTAGTTGAACGGTCGTGTAGGTGCGCGATAAAGTAGGCCTGATCTTGTGCTCAGTGTCTTTCGCAGCATGACCCCCCTAAGTACAGAGCATTCAGTTGCTACGACTTGTCGCCAGGATCACATTAAACAAAATAACGAGAAAAAACACAATGGCATCATAGCATATCGACGTTTCGCTAACAAGAGACCACTAACAGTCAGTATGCTGATAGGCGAGGTGACCTCCCCAGTGATGTGACCACCAGAAATGACCTTACTACCAAGGTAAGTGAACCGATCCGTCGCTTCCACCGACTGTTCGATGATAGCTTGAACCGGTGACGTATCGGTCCAGTCCTGCAACAACACCTTGCATTTTTTTGTGCAGGTTCGTCGCAGTTAGACACAGGCAGACAGCCACGGAACATCCAGGAAAGCGCTAGACGGCCGTTTCGTCCTATTGGGACTCGTCAGTAGCCCGCACCTGCCGAATCTTGCCGGATTCGAACTCACGACCTTACTCTTGTGAGTCAGCGACTAATGTCACTGAGCCATGGTCGCCCAGGAGACAGCTTCCCGTAGACGCTTGCCTGACCTCGGTAGTCACGATAGAGAGACTGTATAATGGAAAGGAATTTAGCCGGCACGCCCCTCATGGATAGGCTCCATCAGTGAAGTCGTCGAGGGCGGCCTTCAAGTCAATGAAAATCACCATAGTCTATCGTCTTTATGAGTGTTTCTGATCTAATACGTGACGAAACGTAACTACCTCGACCAAGATAAAACCCAGTCTGGCTTTCAATGATTCTCCTCTCACGATGACCAGTAGCTCGTGAGAAGTTCGCAAGTATTGAAAATATGTCCAATTCCTCCTTGATTTTCGCACTATGTCGGTTGACCAATTTTGAAGATAGATGCGACAATTGACAGTCGCCAGTCTGCAGGCACTTCTTCAATGTCCCAGATAATGCTGAATAGAACGGAAAGTCTAGTCAACAAAGTGTCACATCCGATTTTCGGTAAAGACTGAAGACCACCCGTTCTCCGGATGAGCTGGACCAGTACTCGGCTGCTCTCAGTGGCACCGTTTCTCTCCATCTCATGGGATTTCGTCACCCATCAACGCTCCGAGACATTTTTCAGACTTATTGTCAATCGTCGTTTCATGGAGTTCCGGACACGCCGAAACTCAGTGCACAAGGGAGCCTGTTTTATTGTTTCAGTCAAACTGATCTACGCCTCATAGATCCATTCACAGTTCGGATTCTCAAGTTGGGTGCACTTCAAGCGTCAAAAACATTCCTTATGACACACTCGAGACAATCACCGTCAGCGTTCGGCTCACCAACCTCATTCATCTATGGCAATTTGTGGGTCACTTCATCGTGATATTGTTAAACTATCGACTGCGAGTTTAATTTACAAATGAGAATCTTGGAACATTGGCACTTCATTGAAGTTGGAAGCGTGAGCACCAGGCGTGCGCATGCTCGGACTTCAACCACGTTTTCCGGCTTGATCAACAACAGTCTTGTACTAATCTCTGTCACGTATAGCTGACGGCGATATAGTCCAGGTCATAGAAGAATTCTCGAGTAACTAGTGACACCAAATCAGCGGTTAATATAAAATTGTGGTCGGCGCATAGCTGCATGGATCGATTACGAATGTGTGTTCGGCGTACATCGACCCTATATGGCGCACCCCCCCCCCCCCAAGTGTTGTTCAAAGTCTGTAAGGCAACCCTTGTTGGGTATCCATGCCATCAGCAATAATCGCGATGTCAGTATTCTTCGCTCTGTGCGAAGAAGTGGTAAGCGTTTATGATGGGAATGATTTTTGATCCCATACAAATTGCGCTCACCCCGGGGGGAGGGGCATAAACGGAGGGCATGAAAAGGCACTTTCTCTTCAGGTTCGAAGTGGAACCGCACACATGCAACTGTTCACCGGTATCATCCAGTCGAGTACATTGCTTTCAGCCTTTTTGCTGAGGGCAATACCGACACCGTAAATCCTTTCAGCCATTGACTCAGTATCGCCAAAGATGCGAGAAGTGTAACCATTTTCGGCCTATTCCGAACCAGAGAGCCGAAGAATCGACACAGCGCTGTTATCTTACGGACGTTAAAGGAACCAATGTAAAATGAGACCGTTGATTTGAAGGACAATCTAGCTGTATCAATGAGGTCAGCTGCGATCTCAGCGGCGGTTTCTTGCTCAGTAAAGAAAAAGTGAATGGTGAGTAGAACAAGAAAAAAACGAATGTTCACTACGGTTTTACAATCACGTACGTCGTCTCTCTAAGCTCTCTAACCGCCGCGTATTGTTCTGCTTTCCAAGGACACCTTTAAACTTTTGCCACTTTCGAAACCTGATTTTAGATACCCACTAATTTTACTCGAAAACAGCCTACCTCGTCCGCTTGGTGAAACGTCGCTAATCTGGTTATGCAGATGTTCAGTTAATTTGCGTACCGAGCTTGTCAGATCATTTTTCAAGAATAGTCAGTGTTTAATTCCCAGTGAAAGAACTTCCAGCTGTTCCAAGTTGATGGTAGACTGTACACATGTTTCGTTCTAATGGTGGGGATGACTCATGGACTGTGAGTACGGTGACCACATTGCCTTTATCTGTGACCGCTTTCAAACGTGCCAAGCAGCACTACACACGTTAGCACTGGTGGTCAGTCGTTTCGGACTATGCTTTGCACCCTCAAAGTGTAAAGTCCTCCCCCAAGATTGGCAGCGACCCACTCCTTCGCTGACCCTTGATGAGGATCAGCTAGAAGTCGTCAAGAACTTCAACTATGTAGGCAGGTATATCAGTGCCAGAGGAACGGAAGATAAGATCACGAACTGAATAGTAAATGCTCGAAGCGCTTTTGCCAATTTCTACCATTTGTGAGGTGGGCGCGATATCACTCTTGCCGTGAAGAGTAGCCGTTCGTTCAACCCTACTGTATTGTTACGAAACCTGGTCCATCAAGCCGATAGATGTAAAGTGACTAGTCACGTTCGACCATCGCTGCCTTCGCAGCTTAGCTCATGTCTCGTGGGAGCACCGCGTGAGCAATGACCATATTCGGCCTCCTTTATTTAGTGCAGGAATAGCGCGTTATCCGTTCAGCGCCATTATATCATGCACCAGGCTCCGTTGACTGGGCCACGCGTTGCGCATGCCAGCTTATCAACTCCCCCAATGTGCATAGTTTGCGCACCGGGGGTTCGGTAGGAAGAGGAGGAGGGGAGGCCAAGCGATGACTTGGTCGAGAGAAATGGATCCCTCACTTCGAACTTGGCGTCGGCTGGTGCATCCCGACTGCCTGGCTGGAGACCGAAGGATCACGAACATGTTTTCTTGGATACACTGGTTGACACAGTGAGGAGGCGACCTCAATATAGCTTGTGTTGTGTTTTTTTATCTCTCCCTATCCTGCTTATTTTCACTCTCCAACCACGATCTCTCTCTGGACGCATAATATGTGTTACTAAACAGTCACGCATTCTATACTTTTCAGTACCTTGCTTTTTCGTATGTCTTATCTTTTTTGTATTTCGACACAATAGTCGATTTGTGTTTGTTATCTTCAGGTAATGCATTATGATAATGGTGACGGTGGTGGTGGTGGTGATGATGATGATGACGATGACGACGGCGATGATGATGATGATGGATTATTATTATTATTATTATTATTATTTTTGGGACGGGAATGGCAATCTTTTTAACGAGGACCCTTGCACGCTGCACAGTGCCTTAACTCTTGTACGATGCAAAATTTCAGCTGAAAGCGCTTTACATTTAAAACGGCAAGCCAAAGACACACGTTACACATTCACGCGAATCGCTTTTGCCTCGCGGAGAATTTATCTTCCCCAATCAAGGCAAGTATCTGTGTGTGCTGTCGCAATCCTGGCCAGGTTTGGTGTGGCCTTTGAGTAACATTTCTTAGCATGGTTTTACTAAGCCGGACTGGATGCGTTCTTCTTATGCCTGAATTCGTAAACGTTCCACAGCCTTTGTATATATCAGAATTCTGTCTTTTAAGCAAAACATTCCGATCCGATTTTATGCCCCGGCCTCTTCACCGGCCAACTGTGTCAAACTATCATCACCTTCCTGTTTACTGTCATTACTGTGAACGATTGTATTCCGTTGCGTGCAGATCGTGCCGAACGGTCTATCTTGATCATGTGCCTTGTACTTAAGCCTGCTACAGTCAACTGTGGGATCTTCCTCTGTCGCTATTCATCATCTCTTTCAAATGTGACCCATATCAATTCCTAGCCTTTCTTTTGCTTAAAATCTACTTTATTAACGCAAAAGTTTCCCGATCGGCATACAATTATACTTAGCATGCCTTCCACATTTGTTTGCCTCGTACATTCCTATTCAAATACTAACTGTGCTTGATGTTAACCTTCAGTGTCTGCTTGCTGTACGCCCTCGGCGTGAAAGTCGAACACAATTGACCTGAGTAGCAATACCCGCTGATCACTACTTGTAATGTTTTTCTGAACCCACGGACTAATCTGTCACAGACGCTCTCGGCTTATGTATACGAATCGCTCAGAATTCGTCGAAACTATCGCGATTCTGTTCTTCTGCATTTGTAATACCTAGGAATTTCTTGTTTCCACACTTTGGAAAACGTTACCGTCCAGCTGACTTATGCTCAGCAACGTGTCTCTTTCTTGCAAGCTCGCTGCGTAACCATTTACACTTCGTACTATTTGAAATAATACAGGCGCAACATTTCTCACACCCCGTAACCTTTTTGTACACCTGAGTGTTTTGTTTAGGACACTAATCGCGTTGCTTGTGCATCAAGTTTGGTCTATCAGCAGCATCTTCTTACATTGGCAATATCCTCATAATGTTTGTCCCTGTTTATCGCCAACTTGACATCCTCAACCTCATTCTGTTTTCTGACACTTGGTTCACTTTTGTTTTTCGCCAGATTCGCATAACACAATCCAAAGTTCCAACGGTTTTTTTCTGTTCACTAACCCCGGCGCCGTTTTACACACTTTTGTTCCGTGTATGCGGATATACATTCCGTCGCATTCTTCGTTGCAGGCTGTTTCTATTCTCATCTGCTCCACTTGCCTGGATCCGATTTGCTCTTGATCAGTCTCAACGGGCTTGTCTGGTACACTGGCAATCCACATGCTGACGACTCATTGCCGGATCCACTCGATCAATTCAGGTGGCTTGAGCAGTCTTTTCAGTGGGCTCGCGAAGCCGGTATCAAAGTGAGTTCGCAATGGCGCATCTCACCTGACCGGTTCTCTTGCATGTCCAGTGTACATGATTCCTCATTTGCTCTAACATAGATTTGAACATCTGGTGAAGAGCGGTCTTCATCCAGCTCCCTTACGCTTCCAATTGTAATGATCTCATATTTCCTTTTCTTCGTGGCAATAAGCTGCAGTCTCTCATAAACTACCTGCTCCACTCTGACTGTAAGTGAAAATCACGCATCTAGGTCATCCATCATCAAGTATCTCGGTATCGTTTTGTACCAAAGCCACTCTTAGTCCGCGCAACTTTGTGGAACCTCTCATGAAACTTTCTTTTCATGCTCTCAGGCTTAAGGTGCTTTAAACTCCCCCATATTATTTAGCTTTTTGACTCTTCATACGTTATCCCCATTAGACACCTTACTCCTCTGTCATTTACCCTCGACTATCCTTTATTGGTAGCATCGTAAAGGCACATTACTAGATGCAGCGATTTGTTTAAAGGTTAGCTGATTGATTTACTCATTTCTAGCTACCTTGATGCTTGGAAGCTTCTTTTCTAAACTCCACCGCAAGTGATCTATCAAAAATACTCTTCCTCTCTCACGAGTTCAAAATTCAGGGTTCAATTCTCCCGCACTTTCTCGTATTGTGACACAATCTTAACTGATCTGTTATGTTTGCTTGGTTGCTCCAACGAAAGTTATGAAGATGCTGCGCGAGCGCTAATTGGAGTGACAGTAGGGTATATGTTTTCATTTTTATATACTCTTTTCTTGATATTGTCTTCTTGTATAACCGCAATGATAGTGTCAACGCTGAAAATGAACATATCTGGTTTTCAGAAATAAGCAAATGCAAGGAAGAATATTCTTCTCGATAATTCTCACCAAGCGTGTACAGTTATGAAGCAAAACTTTTGGAGATAGTAAAGCCCATAGAGGCCTGTACAGAGAGCAACCAACTCATTACTTGGGCAATATGAAGACTAATTCAGTGACTTGATCAATCAGATTGTCCCATTAGGAAGCAAGTGATCAAGGAAAGTCAAGTTCAAGGCTAAGGCAATTCCAGAGCCTGTAGCGGTGTGCGTTGTTTGCACAGCTCTGGTCTTAGAACCTGGATAGCAATGGCTTCAGAAATGCTCAACAAATGTTTCTTAAGCTGTTTTGGGTAGCGTTTACGGATGGTAAATACTTTAAACGACTGGTTCATCTGGACTTGGTGTCCAGTGTCGAGCAAGTGTTGTAATACGGAACTGTTGATGGATTTTACCGTGCCTTTTCGTAGTGACGCAGGACAATGCTCAGCGATTCTTTTGGACAAACACTTGGCCGTATGTCCAAGATACCTAGCGCCACAGGTGCAGGTGAACTGATATAGGACAAACGATTCTGACCGAACCGGAAGTTTATAATTTAATCGCTGCAGCATCAGTGGTCTTGTTTCGGCAAGTAGTTTTAGAGTGGCGGTTGGAAATGTCTTGGTCACTGCGGTCGAGATTTTTCTATTCAACAGTTCGACCGTGACGTCACCTTTAAAGGGAACTGTAAGGAATACATCCTTTTTGCGTACCGTAGCGACAAATTTGACAGTCTCAAGCTGTTTGGACTGCTTTTTCATGAAAGGTACGGGGTATCCATTTCCTTGCAACTTGTTAAAAATGAGCTGGGTTTCGCTTTCCAGCGTCTCTGGACTGCAGATTGCTCTGGCATGATAGTATATGCCACGCAGTAAATTCCTCTTGTATCTCAGCGGTACAAAACTAACAAAGTGGGTGTATTGACCTACTCACGTCGCTTTGCGAAAAACACTCATTTTGATCGTCCCGTTTTCATGCCGATGCAATAGAACGTCTAAGAACGCCAAGCAGCCATCTTGCTTATCCTCACTGGTGAATTTTAATGATGGATGCACCCTCTTAAACTGATGTAATAGGGTTAGGTAATCGATGGAAGAGTCACAGACAATGAAAGTGTCGTCCATGTAACAGTAGTATAAATCAATTGAACATACGACCAGGTGTTTGTCCAAAAGAATTTCTGAACACTGTCCTGCGTCACTACGAAAAGGCAAGGTAAAATCCATCAACAGTTCCGTATTACAACACTTGCTCGACACTGGACACCAAGTCCAGATGAACCAGTCGTTTCGAGTCGTTTATACTATCCCTAAACGATACCCAAAACAGCTTAAGAAACATTGGTTGAGCATTTCTGAAGCCATTGCTATCAAGGTTCTAAGACCAGAGCTGTGCAAACAACGCACACCGCTACAGGCTCTGAAATTGCCTTGGCCTTGAACTTGACCTTCCTTGATCACCTGCTTCCTAATGCGACAATCCGTTTGATCAAACCATTGATTTAGTTTTCATATTGCCTAGTTAATGAGTTGGTTGCTCTCTGTACAGGCCTCTACGGGCTTTATTCTCTCCAAACGCCTTGCTTCATAATTAAACACGCCTGATGAGAATTATCGAGAAGAACATTCTTCGCGCATTTGCTTATTTCTGACTCAAATGGGGAGTATTTATGAATATCTGGTTTTCCAAATAATTTGGAACACTGGTAGCCCGGGTTGGTTGTTTACCTGTTGATCGCTTCTCTGAGTTTGCTGAAGTGGTTGCATACGTTTCGCCGCCATGCGAGATGTCATTCTCAGTGCGGTGATATGCAGTGTACAATCCTGCTTGTTGAATCGTCAGTCCGTGCTCAACGAGCACGTGACTTTTGAAAGTGGCAATTTCGATTGGCGCCTCGTGATCTCTGCGCATTCTCTTCCGCGGCTGAACCACATCTTTCTATTCGCCAGCGATCTTTCTTTCTGAGCTGTTGATACACGGGATCTGTTACGGAGAGAAAGCTTTGAGTCGGTGATCAGGCCGAGAGCAGTGACACAAGAGTGGATCGCTCTACATTTGGAGATCGAACTCTAGTGGAGCTCAAAAGCCGAATCTATCTGTGTGGTGGCTGAACCACGTAACCAACGCTGAAGTCAGACAGCCTGTCTTGGGTGGAGACAGCCACTCCCTCCAGGCCGTGGTCACGTTACGCCAACCACGATGGCTCGGACACGTACTGCGTATGTCCACTCAACGTCTTCCGCATCGTGCCTTGTTCGCAGTCACTAGACAGGGCTGGAGGAGGCGGTGTGGTGGATAGCCCACAACTTGGAGAAATACAATGAAAAAGCTGACGAAACAGCTGGCCACGGTTGGTTCCTCCCGACTCTCTGGATGAGGTCCCAAGAATGCTGAGTGCAGTTGGTTGGAAACGTTGAAAGTCATGGCTCTAAACCGAACTCAGTGGCAGATGTGTATCTCTACTTGTTGTGCTGATTCCCCTTCCCTCCTCCAATAAAACTACACAAAAACTGTGAGTGGAAAAATGGACAAAAATTGTTTGTTATCTTCTTTTACTCTCACCCTGTTTTCCTATTCCACCATGGTTCTGATGACACAATACCTGTACACAAATTGTGATATATATATATATATATATATGTATGATTGGCGGCATCCGGTTTCAGATTCGTCTGTCACTGTGGTCAGCCACAGGACGCTTGTGCCTACAGAGGGACCGTGGATGGCTTGCGCTGTACCACCCACAGCTCCAACCACACACACTATATCCAGTGTAAACCCGAAGGAATAAGACCAGGAGGCATGCGGATGGGAGCCACGTTTCATCAACGGAGCCGGCCCACACTCCTTCAGTAGCAAACACAAGCACGCTGCATTTGGGGAATCAAACGTACACAAGGCGGTAGTTGGACCGTAGTCCGCTCCACACTGAGTACATGGAACCATTCTTCGAGCCTAGCATGGCCACAAGGACCGTGCACCCCGTCCCCTCCAGCAACGGCCAACTGTCACCTGGAGCCAGTATGGACGAGGTAGTGGGTAATAGACAGGTAGGCACATTGTCAACATCCACATCAAGCGCAGTTGCACCAGCGATATCAAGCAACAACCAATCACTTAAAACAACAAGATGAAATGAAATAAATCCAATAACGCATACAGATACGGTGGCATAACTCTTTGTTAAATTAGCCTAAGAAGTAAGTTAGCTAGCAACGAATCTGCGATAAGGAAAAAATGTACACAAGTTACTTAAAACTGCTACAAACACCAAAAAGTTACCGAGGATAAGCGAACTTATCGTAAGCAATGTGGTCAGTTAATTGAAGATTATTCAAGTAAGCAGAACAAACCAAATAAAGTAGAATGAAATTTATCCAGCTTAAAATGACCTAGTTTAAGTGTAAATTGGTTTAGCCCAACTGCGATGAAGAAGCATCAAGAATGCAACATCAGCCTCAGCATGGGGCACAATCAATCAATTATAAATACGCACAAGTATAACTACATGTTTTCCACCTATATCAAGTCAACGAGACTAGCAACTTGCATAACTAGTGGGAAGCTAGACATTCTGACTCATAACCCGAGTTACGCGATTCCCTTGAACTAATCACTGCCTTTGAACAAGCAAACCTGTCTCAACACAGCGGTTCAGGCTGCTACAGTGAGCCACGGACATCCACCCATGAAAGATTCACTCGGATTTTCGATCCGTTTAATTTACCCCACAACATGAAATCCAGTCGGCGTATTTTCACCGGCAACTTATTTCTCGTCCTATTTTTTGAAAACTCCAACAACTGTTCTACTGATACAGAATCGCTTGTGTTTACTTGGAAATAATTTGGAACACTGGTAGTTCGGGTTGATTGTTTACCTGTTGATCGCTTTTCCGAGTTTGATGAAGTGTTTGCATACGTTTCGCCGCCATGCGAGATGGCATTCTCATTGCGGTGATATGCAGGGTACAATCGTGCTTGTTGAATCGTCAGTCAGTGCTCAACGCGCAGGTGACTTTTGAAAGTGGCAATTTCGATTTGCGCCTCGTGATCTCTGCGCATTCTCTTCCGCGGCTGAACCACATCTTTCTATTCGCCAGCGATCTTTCTTTCTGAGCTGTTGATACACGGGATCTGTTACGGAGAGA